GGGGGAGCTGCTTTTGGCTCCTCCCACAGCCTGCCATGCCAGCTGGGGCAGCCTCGGCCATGCCTGCCTCATCCTAGCAGCGATAGTGGGGGCAACTGGGGGTTTTGGTGTGCTGCCCAGGGGACAGCAGCCTCCATCCTGCTCCCGTGGGTGATGAGCCTGGCGCTGACCTGTCCCCTTTGCTGTAGTCCAGGGTGCAGCAGGTTCGGAGGGGTTCGTAGTCATATTGCCCCCATCCCAGCAAGGGCATCACGGACCAAAAGGCAGCAAACAGCCATGCAAACACTGTCATGGAGATGGCGGTGCTCCACTGCATCTTGCTCCCTGCAGGAAGAGAAGAGAACAGAGGGTCCCCGTGCCCAGGACGAAAGAACCAGGCGAAGCTGGCTGTGTGGGGCCAGAGCCACGTGCCCCAACCCCACAGCCTCGGGCACAAGCAAGCGCACACTCCCCAGCTCCTGCCTACTTTGTTCCTGCTGTGCCAAGAGTGCAGAGCACGCATGGATATTCAATATACCCTGTTCTAAAGTCACTGCTCATCAATATATATGTGAATATATATATACAACCTGACAACAAATCTTGTCCTAAAAATACTGCTGGTCAAATTTTTTTGCCCGTAAGATCATTGCTTAGCCTGGAACAGGAAATATGAAGCTCAACATTAGTATAAAATTAGAAAAATATTACTAAAGATGATCACTTGTGGCTATCTCCTCCAGTTCTGTAAAATGCCATGGGAATAGGGCAATGTATGAAACGAAAGATTGAAAACTTCAGGAGGCACAGGAAGTCTTTCTACATGGAGCAGCCAGGCAGGCTTCCCTGCTGCTGCAAGGCATTGTGTTAGCCTCACTGCTTGCGTGTGAAAAGGCCTGGATAATTCTGTTACCGAGGCTAACATCCATAATCATGCCCGTGCTGAACAGCCCATGACGCCAGCCGCATCAGCAAGGAGCACGGTGACTTTGCCCACTGCTCCTTTCTAATCAAATCTCCCCCTAGGGAGAAGTAATGATGTAATTTTCACCGAGCTTGGGGAGCAATCTTTCTGTCTGCACTTAACAGCAGCATCATGACAGCGGGCCAGGAAGATTCAGGCCAGTTCTGCCCTTTCTCAGAAAGGCGAAGGACTGGAGGTGAGCTGCATGAGGTGGGGGCCTGCCGTGAGATCAGCTGGGGCTGACGACTTGTGGGTGGGCAGTATGGTGGGGCCACACAGGCTGGAGATCCCCATAAGGCAGCAGCTCCAGCAAGGACCATAAACTTTACAGTAGCTATTTTCTGTTGTACTGTCCCTGTTTATTTTAAAGGAGAGTAAAGTAGGTGTGGTGGTGAAATTGTCCTTTTACAGTAATGCTGGTTCTACCTCTGTCCTTTTTCTTCTCTTTTAGAGGTTCTTCAGGGAAAAGAATTAGAGTTTGAACTGCATTAAAAATCAACTTGGAAAACTTGTTTGGTGCAGGAGTTAAAAAATTAGTAATGGGAAAAGATAGGTGTACACGTTGCAATTTAAAATACCAAGGAAAAAGTGAAGATAATCCTTTTTATTAAGTGCTCTATGTTTTAATATGGTAGTTACCAAAAATCTGTTGATTTTTCAGTCATTTAAAACATTATTTTTCAAGAATTACTAATGAGGAATGATTAATAATGACTAATACCTGTCTTTTGTATGATTCCTACACAGAAGATATACTTTAGCTGCAAAGGCTCAAATATTGCTTTGTAGTACTGACATAATACGACTCTAGAATGACATAGATGAAAATAAAGGAGCAGTTTCTGATTTAGGGGGTTAGAAATACAAGTCATACTTCTTAGTAGCTTGTAATTTATTCTTAATCTCCCAGTCCAAAGAAACAATGTAGCCTAAATTGTGTCTTTCAGAACTGCATCCTGTTTAGGTATCTGCTCAAACAAGCATCTGAGAGTTGTTACTCACCCAAGGTTCCCATTTCCATTTGTGTTCTACAGAGCAGTTCTTGTAGCTTGGCTTTACACAATTGTAACTTGACTTTCATTCAGGACAAAGCTTATTGCATAAGCTGTCAGGTTTGTTTTATGTTTTACATATTCTGGCAACACTTTGAAGGCATTATCAAAGGCAGCTGCACTGAAACCTGGATCTGACTTTTGTTTCTTTTAAACCAAGCTCATGCCAAGTGTAGATTTATGGCTTTGGGAATACAATCTTTTAAGTGGTAAGCCCTCCTGATATTCTGAAAAAACAAGCTAAATCTTGTGGCTTTTTTGTTTCTCAGCAATTCCTATGAAGTATTTAATACCAATTATGTTTTGTGGCATCTGGCAGACACTTTGCTATCTTGTCCCTCCCCGTTCTTTCAGTCCATGGACTACTGTGATACTGTGAAGGTCTCAAAACATGATGGGCCCTGACTGAGGCACTCCGGTGCCATGGGGTCCTAGCCACATGCCGGCACCTTATGGATCTTTGCGTGTAAGGAAAAGATCCTTGCATTGACAGAAGTTGCCCTCAGCAGCTGGGACACGTGGGTGGCATGCTGCAGGCAGCCCATGGCCCCATGTGCTACCGGCTGAACAGGAAAAGTGCAGCCCATAGAGGAAAGCTCCCCATGCCTTTGGCTGGTCGTGCCCTGCCTTGATTCCCCTCTGCTGTGGCCAGGAGGGCCCTGGGCAGCGCAGGAGATGACATGGCTCAATTTCCATTAGCTTTCTTTTGTTCCTTTGTTTTCCTGATTTTTGGCTTGAAAGCTTGTGCCTCTTCTATGAAAACTGCAAGAAAAATTGTTTTAGTTACTTTTCCACGGGTGTCATGGAACACCGTTTTCTTGCTAGATGTAGAATGAAAGGACCATGCAATAATGGGGTCTGGCATGTAATGACAGCCTGCGTTTGGAAAACTCGGCTCTGGGGCTGAGTTCATTTGTTCCTCCTTCTCCTAGTTCAGGACTCCTATCTTGGACACTAGAAAAGGACAGAATCAGAACTAACAAAATGAAATTTTTCCTTCTGGAGTTGGCCTTTTGCAAAATGAGATTAATGGTGAAACAGTCCTGGTGAAATCAGCTGCCTGCTGACCCTCCAGAAAACATTTAATGACCCATCAGAGCTAGCTAAAAAGGTATGAATGAAAAATTAAACTAATTTGATGATATTTTAGCTTTACCCAGAAAACATACTTTCAGTACAAGAACAGTGAAAGAATCATGCTCCATTCACATGGCAAAAATGTGCTCCTCTGAGAGGGCTGACAGCAAGAGAGCGAGACAAGAGCTGTTTGGTTGGTTTTGTGCAGAGCAGGCCATTGTTTTATCTTAAATACCTTTTTTTTGCCTGATAAAATTTAGTTATCCTAATTCAGTAGGTCCTAATTCAGTTAAATGTGTATGTATGGAGTTCAGCAAATGCTTAAGGATATAAGTCCTAATTAGGGCCCAGTGCTGGCAATTTGGTCCTATTAAATCTAATCACTTTTCTGCTCTGGCTTTCCCTCCTTGAAAAGCAAGAGGGAAGCTGCACTTTTCCATACAGTGAAATACTAATACAGAGGATTTTAAATGGCTTCTGTAATTGCTTTGGAACAGAAAGAGGTCACTCAAATAAAAAAATGCTCATCATTTAAAGATTAATACATTGTGATGTCGAAGGCTTAAATTTTAGGAAGTGGTAGACAAAGCATGGAACAATCCTTTTGATCATGCTGCTCAGTTTTTAGTGACATAATCATAAACTATTTCTCCATCTGAAGTCTGTGGGTCCATTTATGAATTTGGATTTTTAAAGATTTATAAATTGGTCAAATATCTGATTTTCACAGAAAGAGCAAAAAATACTTCTCTAACACAGTGTCTGCTTTTCAACTAGATTTCAGGCTGGTTCTCAAAAGGAATTTCTCAAATAAAAGGTCAACAGGATTTTCTAGGATGGAGGAAAAAAGTCCCATTCCCTCATTCTTGCAAATGGTTAAACTATGATAACTGATGTATTCCAGAACAGTATGGCTTTTGCCAGACGTTATGGCATCCATCACTTTAAATTGGCAAAGCTTATCAAAGGCAAGAATATGTGAAAGTACCAGACGTTATGGCATCCATCACTTTAAATTGGCAAAGCTTATCAAAGGCAAGAATATGTGAAAGTCTTATAAGGGAAAATATGTATCAGTCCAAAGTAAAATAGGTGTTAGTACCTACTTAATCTGCAGCGTGAAAAGCACCAGTTAATGGTGTTCACATGGATTCATTTTTTGTAGGAATAAGAAAGCTGCACTGCTAATAGCTGCTTTTGTGCACATCATTAGAAAAAGCTCTTTAAAATAACCTAATAAAGGGATTTTTTTTTTTACCCTATTAATTTTTTGCTGTGGTTCTCCATGATCGTAAAGCTGTCTTGGAGATCACCTCCCGCTTCAGCAAAAATGCAAGATCTGTATCAACATTGGCATGTTCTCAGGGAAAACTAATGCAGGTGCAAGACCAGATGACAGAAGTGTGGCAGGGTGGTTGTAGTCCGTGTGACAGCAGGTAAGGACCTGCTCCGAATCTGACAGAGCTGACAGCTGCAACCAGAGCAAATGGTAGTTTGCTAATCTTTGAATACTGCTATAACAACCTAGATTTCCTTGAATATTAAGGATTAGATAAAACTCACTGCAATTTGACTTCTTGTAATTGAATGCTGCTGTGAAATCCCTGCTAATTTTGTTTGGCTTTTCTCTGGTAATATTGAGAAAAGTACTGACATAAATCACTCCTAGATTTTTCCATTTTCCCCCAATTCTTAAATGCAAGTGCGAAATCTTGTAGATTTTTTTCTTTCCTTTTAAAACTGTAAGTGTATGCTGTGGTTATGAAAGGAGAAAAACTGACCAGAACCCTTCCCCTCCCCATAACCTGCTGATGGCAGCGTGCTGCCCTCTCACCAAGCTGACTCATGAGTCAGATCGAGACGCCTTCCACCAAGACGTCTCCGTGGTGGGTGGCTGCCTGCTTTCATGTCCCTGAGCCCTGGGCTGTCCCCCAGCTGCCCACTGCCTGCCTGATCCCAGCAAGACCTCCCAACCTGCTGCTTCCTTGCTCCCTTGCTGTGCTAAGAACATAATTCAGGACGTTTTCCTCATTTGAATGGCCAAGGAGGGAGAACTAACAACGTCTACCTTGACATGAAATGCCATCTTCTGTCTTGAATGCCTGGCTACTGATAGACAGCTTCCTCAGAGTTTGCCCTTTCCTCCTTCACTGTTGGGCGCTAAGATAAAATTACTTCTGCTTTCTCCGTTTCCCCCTAATGATCAAAATTTGAAATACAATAATCTGTTTTCCCATCTTGCTAGTGATTGACATTCAAACCCTTCCGACTCCCCTGCCTTTTCTCCTTTTATTGCTTACTTTTTGACTACAGATTTCTGTAGTTCTCTCCTCCTTGCTGTGAAAGTAACATCTCACAGCCCCCAAAGCAACATTTAGGGGATGAAAAGAGAGTTGCCCAGCAAGGTTGCCTGGGAAGAAGAAAGCAAGAGGAGGAAGAGTAAAATGCCTTGAAACTCTAGCTTCTCTGGCACGTGTGGTGGGCAGGCTGTTTTCTTCCATATGCCAATCAATATCAACCTGTTTTCTGAAGAGTGACATGTCTAGTTATCAATAGACTTTGAATGCTAGCACTTTGTCACTGAGGGTTGTGTCGACTTCCAAATTAAAAAAACTTGGTTAATGTTCGGGATGTTGGTGAGCATATTTGTCTTATTAGCATCCAGAATGGCTGGGAAGTCCTGTTTTTTCTTATCATCATAGTAATCTCTCACATTCTCATCAGCTCTTTCTTCTTAGAAATATGGATAGTGGATAATCAAGTGTCAAGCCAAGGAACGCCAAAACAACAGTTTTCTCAGAAGCTGTTAGGACATAACAAAAACATTGGGGATGATTCAATGGAGTCTGGAAAGAGTACCAACTTCTGGGGAATGAAGATAAAAGTTTGATAGCTTTGTTTTTTAGGCAAAAATATTTTCTACCTTCTGTACGGGCATGCCACTCTCACCAGTGTCAACAGGAGTTTGATGTATGGATTGAGAGCATAGTGTAGCCCGTAGGCTTGGTGTATCAGATCTATGAAATATGACTTGATCTTCCTCGCAATCAGCATGTGAAGGAAGAAACTAGAAGTGGCTGGTTTTGCTGGAATATCCACAGAGCATGAGCTTTTAAAACCTTCCGGGGTTTTGTTTTTGTTTTGTTGTTCAAAGCGTTCAGTAACAGCAGCGATGTTTGGCCATCAGTAAGTAACAATTTGAGCAAACTGAAGAAGCTTGTGCCCTGAGGGTGTCTCTGCCTGTGCTCTTAACGCAGTATTCTCTTGACTGGAGGAGTGCATGACACGAAAGCATTAAAGTCAATGTTGCAGTGAGTAAAATGTCTTTCCACAAATATGCTTATTTTCAGGCTGTCTCTCTCGTAAAATACAGAGGCTACTCTTCTAGCTCCAAAGACATTTCAGTGTCCAAAGGGTGTTGGTATGGATTTAGCTTACTGCCTGCATTATTTGGGGCCTTTGTCTGGACGTGAAAACAAACAAACATTTCCTTGCCTTAGTTGAATTCTTGGCGAAAGTTGCAGAACAAGAAGTTGGCAACCTTTCCACCCTCAGCAGGATCATCAGCTTGAAAGTTTGCAGTGTGCTCTGGGTGTTTTTTATCACTGGCTGCTTTAATCATAGGGAGGCCGTGCCTGCAAGGCTGTGGGGATGCCAGCGGTGGAGGGGATTGAAGCGCTGCAGCTCAGCAGTTTCTGCCCCAGCCAACATTTACACTCTCATTTAGAAAATATGTTGTGGTCTGAGCAACCTGTGCTTTAGCACAAGAAAAGGAGAGCTGCATTTTTTTTATCAACATTGCCAAAAAGACACAATTTTTTGGGGAATGGTGCAGTCACAGAGGGTGCTCTGGACTCCTTGCTCCTCTGGAAAGGGCCTGGCTTTAGCAGGAAGCATGGAAGATGCAGATCTGTGTGGGAGAACCTCACCCATCTCTCCCACATGGCAGAGCTCCCCTACAACTGCCAAAATGGCCAAATAGTGCAGATTGGGGCATTCATTGCACTTCGGAGTGCTAAGATGTCCTTTCAGCATAAGTCTGTATTTCGTATCATGTCTCTTCCCCTTTTCCTAAGGAGGGCCATGAGATTGTACACCCTGTGTTTGTCACTCAGTCCTTTCCTAATAACTTTTGAAAACATTGGCTACTTAGAAGTAAACCGGAGAGGGAAGTGGGGACTGACAGGTACTAAATTGCTGCATTTACTGTGAACATTGGTGTCTGGGGAGCAGCGAGGCCCTGTGAAAGCACCCATAGAGCAGACAGCCCAAGTCTATCTTATCAGACAAAAGCAAACATCATCCCTCTGCACCATATTCACAAGAAAGCAGGTTTTGTCCATTCCTACTAGTTTGTTTTACAGCCGTTGATAACGCGCCCTGCTGTGCTTCCCGAGTCCTGAGCTAAGAGAATACAGTTATTGCCCTGGTCTCCCCATCCTCACTGGTGGCTGGAGCACAGCTGGAGTCTCAGAACAAATCCTACCCGTCTCTGCAGACACCAAGTCCAACTCGGCACCCTAACTCAGCAGATATTTCCTCTCCCATTACAGGAATGTGCAAATCCAGTGCTGCTAAACTCTGAGAGGTAGTTCTGTGATAAAAGGTGGAAAATATCTATGTCTATAAATCCATAGATTTGACAATGCTGTCAATCTCTGTTTCTCATCTATATCAAATATATGCTTTCATAAGTCCACAAAAAAAGGCAAATTTCTCTTCCTGGGTTGATCTCCCTGTCTAAAATCAGATTTCTGTTAAATGCAGCTAAGGTGTCAGAGCTAGGCAAAAACTAAATTGCAAGAAAAAACAAAAAAATGGCTTTCACTAAGGGAAGAAAAAGAGCATATTCTTCCTCTTATCAGTACTTAAAAATAGCTCTGCCACTTTTACTGAAACTTGCAGATAATTTGTTCCTTGCTTGGGAACAATTGTATTGAGTTCCAGTCTTCATAAGTGGCTATGGAACGTAGCCCAAACCCCATAAATGGCTCTTGTGCCCCAAAGTGCCTGTGTGTCTCACAACGGGGCTGCTGATCTCTGTCTGCCTGATCGCACCTCTGCACCACTGCTTTGCTGTGGGCTCTGTTCCATCTGCTCCATCCGCGGAGGCAGCTCTCTAGCTACATGAAATTTATCTGTAATTAGTAAACTCTGCAAGGGCATGAAAATCTGTTTGGTACACAACAGGGTGTTGGATGGAAGCCCGAGGTACATAGATTTTTCTTCTATGCGAGAAGCTGGATTTTGTTTGGGACACTGAAGTTTACTTATAGAGAAGGCGAAAGCGTGGCAAGAGAGTCACAGCTTGGATGTGGTCTGGAAGAGGAAATACCTCCTGAAGGTCTTTGGGGAAGAGGTCCTTTGGAGATTATGTTTATATTTGCTCTATCTCTAGCGCGTAAGATAAATAAACTTATATATAAGATATGCAGACAATAAACATGTTCTTGCTTTTATTCTCTGAAATCTAACCAAGCTGCCTTATAGCACGATCTGGGTAAGGTTGCTAGATAAATTGTAGCCCTTACTTGTACAGTAGTGATGATACCGGTCCCAGGCGACTGCAGCGCTGGAGCTAATGCTGGCTAGTGCTGTCAAGAAGCCCTGGAATCCATGAATTTGACAGCCATTAGAGCCGTAGGGCCAGTATCTGTCAACAAGCAAGGAATATGTTAAGAAAATGATAGAAAAAGTTGAAGATATGTTTTGGAAATTGCATTAACGGAGATGGTAAAATGATAGCCTGTGGCCGTGCTTTCTAAGTCTGAGAAACACTGTGAAAGAGGTTACTGCGGTTGCCTGTCGGTATTTGCCAGTGTTTATCTTGCTGTGGCGTCTGATATAGCTGTTGTACTATTTCTACTCTTAATATGGAGAAAAAAAGACAACCCTGGATTTATGTATTGGAAAGCTGTTTTCTTAAATTGAAATCTACATTTCATCCAATTATCCATATCTTCAAAATTTACACCCAATGGGAGCAGCCAATATGTCAACATCTGGAAGTACCTAATGACTAACAACCTTTCGGAAAGTCAGTGTTCGCCATGCAACATGGCAGCAAAGCTCACAACAAATAAAAAATACTCCTGAGAGCCAGACTGAGGCTCCAAATATCTTTGCAGACATAGAACAAAAAGAACCATGAGATGTAGCAGACATCTGCTGACACGTGCCTTCAATATCCTGGTCACCCATGGCAAGGAGCCATGGCTTTTTTGCTTTTTGTGTTCATCTGACCTGACTCTTACGCTCATAAAGCTGGCTGTGAGGTGGAAATCTTCAGCAAGCTTCTTTCTCATTTACAGAACACCAGTGTAATTCCTTAGGAGACTACCCCTGCAAGTCCCTTTGAACAGGAGATAGCTGACTGACTGGGAGGCTGGGAAACTTCTGCTCCCGCTTAAAAGAAAAGATCCTGCAATTGTTAAATCCACGCTGATTCTGATGTATTGACCTTAGCTTCTCAGCTCCAGTTCAGTGAAGGCATCTTGACTGACTTCAGTGAGATGTGTCTGAAACAAGAGTGACCTATACAGAAGGTAAAATAGTGTTCAATAAAGCCTCATTGGAGCGTATTATTGTTAATTGTTTATATTATTAACTTGTTAATTTGAAAAAATGTTTTTATATCCATCAAGAGAGAATAAAATAGTCACATTCTGGCTTGAAATATCTTTATGTTCTCTATTAGAAGTATTTCCAGGGTCTAAAAATATGCTACTTAGGTGGAATTATTCATCAGCTATTTTATAGGGCAGTGGGGGTGTTTTTTGAGTAGGGTTTGCTTGTGATTTGTTTGTTGTAATCATTCACTTAAACGCTTGATATTGTCTCTGTCCTCTGATTAAATGATTGACATGTGTGAAAATGTGGAGAATCAAATGTGTCATAACAGAAGTGCACTCCCTGCCAACAGATCTGCATTTTCATTTTCCACAAACTTCTCAAATAAGTGCCTTAATGGAAAAGTTAATAAAAAACTAGAAAGACTTGCAGATAAATTTAGGGTCACTCTAGAGGTTTAGTCAAATGAAAACATACTGCTATTTTGATGTTCATAGCTTCTACTATAATCACTGGTAAAACTGTCTGGTGAAATGTCTTCTATAATCAGTCTTATAATCTGTCAGTGATTATATGCAGTAAAATCTGCTTTTTTACTTTGCTGGTAGAACTATAGAAAGAGTTTCATTTTACTGTTTCAGATTGAGAGAATGAGAAGGTTATTTAGGTGGTATGCTAGAGAGAGCCATTTAATTAATAATATGACCTCTTAGAACTTGAGCTGTTAATTTTCATGTGGTTCTTGTGAGCATCCTTTAGGAAAAAGAAGGTATACCTTAGGAAGCTGGAAAAGGCAGCAATGAATGCGTTGATACAGATCCCACAGTCGGCCAGTGCAACGCTGAGAACCAGCAGATTGCTGGGTGTTCGGAGTTCTTTGATTTTTCGGAAAGAAAGAATTGTCAAGCCATTCAGACAGAAACCGAGCAGGGCTGAAATACAGAAGTGTTTGGCATGACTCAGCTGGAAAAGGAAAATATCTAGAATAATACAGCTGTTTTCTTTAACGAGAGAAAAATAATTACTATGGAAACTTATGCACAGGGAATATATCTGTAAGGGTCACAGTCTGCGTGCAAGTTTTGAAGACTTTCGGGAGAGAAGTCACAGGTAACAGCACAAGCCAGTGCTTCAAACTGCATCAGGGATATGGCCAGTGAAGCAGAGCAGAGATGGTTTAATCTTGTTTGTAATTCTGCCTCTTGTTTAATAGAGAAACTTGGTTGCCAGGCTGCATCGAGGGACGCATGGGTCAGAGCGAGAGAGATGCAGAGAAGGCAGTTTTAGAGGGGCTGACAGCCAGCACGTGCTGCTGGTGCACACATCTCCAGGCCTGTCCTTGGTAGAGAAATGGATTGCGTTTAATATCAGTTGTAACATTCTTACGTGTCTGAGCGTAGAAATCCCTAGGCCATGTTTCAGTCAGCCTGCTGCCTTTTGGGCTTCTGTCTAAGATTAACCCAGACAGTGCTTGAATCACACCAGCTCAATCTTATTATTGCCTTTCGTCAATAGACTATACATGGAAAGGAATAATCTAATTATAAAAAGCAGTCACTGATAGATTTAAAAAAAAAAAAAAAAATTAGAATTGGTCCTCAGAGAGGAGCATCCAAGCAACCCCAGCTGTTCACCCAGCACAGAGCTGTGCCACCCTGAAACCCACTCTTCACTGGTTTGAACTCGACCGTTGCCCTGTAACGTCCTTTTCAAGATGACCTGAATTATTTTGGCTCTGTTGAGGCTCTGACCCAACTTCCCATCTCTAAGTCTCAGTCAGACGAGAGGCAGTATGTCTTTTTCTTTGTGTTCTTCTTGGAAAGAGAAATGATGTAGCGCAGAAAATATCCATCTCCCCTAACTATGTAAAGCAGTGTAGTTATGCTCATTGTCTTAATTCTGCAGTTACATAAGATGTATGTTTTTGTCTAGTCAGAAATCCTGCTCCTACCTTAATTGCATTAATGGCTGATGGCATAACCATAGTAACAGCCTGATGTGCATCTTTCATTACACAACATATAACAAAATATTTCCAGGAGAAGTATTTGGAGCCATTCGAGATCTGCTGTTCTTCTTTCCTCCCCGCCAGCTTACCTCCCACCCACAGGGTAAAACTACTGCCAACTCTCCCAAATGCAGTGAAGCTTTTAGGAGAGGTGTGTTGCAACCATATTTCGAATAGAGCTGAAAGTTACTGCTGTATCAACTTTTTTCTGTCATTCCCCTGTTTTTGGAAGCTCCAGGCTTCACCCCACTCTGCTTTATTGAAGGCCCGCATGAGTGTACAAATAGAGAACTTACTAAATTAAAAAAAAAATAGCTTTGAGTTTGCATTTTTAGAACAGCAAATGTGTCCAGTTAATTAAGTGAATGCAAGGTTTTCCTCTTCCCCGGAACTTTTTTGTGAACTGAACTTAGAAGCTGCAGCAAAAAAGGAGGTCTTCACTGCTTTTTTTTTCAGAATCTTTGAGAAAGTGAATTAATCTTTAATTATTTATTTTGATCTTCCAAGTCATGCAACAAATATAAAGTTTTATTGCCAATCTGCTGGGCACATTCTGGCTAAAACCCTGTAGAAAATACTTGTATTTAGTAAAACAGGAAAGTGTTAGACCATATCCAGATTTAAGTGAAGGTTACCAGCAGGTACTTTGCTTGGGCTTCAACGATGGCATGTCCCAGGCAGGCTGCAGCCCCGTGCGTGGGTGGGAGGGTGGCAGGGCTGGGGGGCCATGACCAGGCGATCCCCAGCAGAGCCGGCTGTTGGGTTCTGCCGGCACCTGACAGTGTCCCTGTCCTCCTGCCCCTTCTCACACCTCAGTGACACAGTGCGAGGCCATGCCAGGACCCACCAGGCCCTGGAGATGACTTAGTGGCTGTTGGCCAGGTTTATCCCTGAACGCTCTGTTTAGGCAGCAGCTTGCCCCTTAGCCAGAAATAGAAGCTTTTTCTTCTCTCTCTCTTCCAAGGAAGAGTTTCTGACATAGCTTTTCCAGTTTTCCTTTGCAGGAGATATGACGCTGCCTTCCAGCTGAGCTCGCCTGCAAGGAGAGGGTGAGCATCCTCCTTCCTCCCACGCTCCACGTTCATGGGGTGACCTGATGAGCATTTATCCCATTCTGATGGTGCTTACTGCTTCTCCTCCTCTACTGTTGGGCCCCACGACCCCTGCATCCCCAGCTGAGCAGCACTATGCAGGGGTGGGGTCCCAGGCCCTGACTGGGATGTAGCTCGGAAGACGCCAGTGACTGACACCAAAGTGACCCTAGCTACAAGCCTGTCCTTCGCTAGCTGCCAGGTAGATACAAATTCACAGTTTTGTTGCATTCTCCCAACAAAGTGGCACATGCCTGAAGGAAAGCCCACATTGGCTAAATTAAACAAACAATTCAAACTAAGTCAGATTTTGCTTCTTAACACTGTGAGAACTTTTGAGTCTCATGCAAGTATATTTCTGTTGGTTACTTTTACCCAGCAGCCATTAACTGCGGCACTGCCAATGCAATCTGGATGTGTGGTAACAGTTAACAGGCGATTTTGGACCAATCATCTTTAATTTTAAGACTGTTGCCACAGCCCACAGAACAAGCAGCCCAATTTTACTGAGAGATCATCCATCATTTCAACATCCTTCCCCCAAGGAAGCTAAAATTGCCTTTAAAAATCAACAACAAGATCTTACATCCTAAATTCTTCATAAGAAAGCTAATCCCCGCCATACGGCAGCTATGGATAAAGAGCAGATCTTCACTGCTAACAGCTTGCAGCTCACCCTGATTTACACAGCAGGAGTACTAGTGATGTAACCACCATAACCATGACAGGTCTGGGTCGGCATACCACAAATGCTCCTGTTTGCTTTGATTTTCCTTCCCCATCCCACCAGTAATAATAGGGGCAAAAATCTTATTGCTGCTGAGGTCCCGCACCGAGCTTACCTTCTATCAGCAGGGCTGTGCCGATGGCGAACACCTCTAATTCGGTGAAGCCTTCGGGGAGAGGGTATGCAGTGACCATACTTGCGATAAAAATGCCAACAGATTTAACCTCTGCCCTGTGTTACAGCGGTAGCGCTGCCTTTTCTCCGGGTCCCCCTTCTTCCACCAGACCAAGGCTTCTTAAAGGAGCAGCTCACGTGCAGACACATGCTTGTTATTATATAAAAGCTTTGAGGTTTTTACTCCCACCACTACAATCCCCGCAAGAATGTTATTAATGATAGGACTAGCATCAACCCGCACTCCCCCTTCCCCTGCAAATCGTATTTCAGACACCAGCAAAATGAAAGCATTCATTGCAATTACAAGCAGCTCTTTGTAGAGACAAGATTAAGAACCCTGTCCAGTTAATTCTGCAACACTGGAAAACAATTAAATGTTGTGGAATGAAGGAAACATGTAATATGTAATTGGGGAGTGACCTGGAAAAACAAAGGGGCACTCATTGAGTTGGTAATTAGGTGAAAAGTACGAAGCAAGAATTTCTGCAGCATGTAGGTCTTCCCCTCTCCCCTTGTTTAGAAACTGGCCAGTGTATTTTTCTGGCAATTACTATTCTGTGTATTAACATATCTCCTCTTTGTAACTGAGGCTTCAATTAGGGTGCACACTGTCACAGCCTGACTAAAGGGAAACACTTACAAATTGCTGATTTTGGGCCCCAGACGTACAAGGACATACATGAGTTGCCCAGTGGTTAGTGCTCACAGGAATTACCTTACTGTCCTTTTGGAGGTGATGGAGCACTGGGCTTTTGGTGTAGTGTGGCTCTGGAGTATGTGCAACGTGCAGCTTGTCCAGCCTCCAGAGTTTATAGCTGCTGGCTGACTTCCAGCCATGAGGAAACCACACGATGGATCAGAGATGTACATGAGCCCCTGTCATTTCCCAGCAGGGTCAACCATTTTCCTTTCATTTCTTGTACTACTGATTGATTAACTAAGTCTTTGGGAATTTGAATGCCTGGATCCTGCAGAATGGAAGTCAGCAGCTTTCAGAGTCCGAGTGAAACAAATGGTACTTTTTTAGCTATACAGCTACTATTTGTGTAATTGTCAATGCTTGTCCATTAAAAGTGAGCAACTTGGCTACACTTTTCAATTTTTAACTTACATTTAGAATAGCAATAGCTATGACAACTACTAGATTGGGCTGTTTTCTTTTAATGGTACTTGATTTCACCCTTTTTTTCCTGTATTTTGTTTCCTTTTTCTTCACTTCTCACTCCTTCCCTTTTCCACAGACCTACTCTTTGTCTAAACAGCAAGGTGCCACTAGCACGATAGTTGCTACTTCGAGAGGTAACTTTCTTCATCCTCACAAACCTACTGTGAAATGGGAGCAAAAAGACAGCTGAAGCACGAGGGGTATTGGCTTCCCCCGGCTCAGGCCCCACACTGTGCTAACCTGGCTTTGGGTTGATTGAGATGTCAGGCAGAGTGAATCGCTCCAGATGCAGCCAGAGCTTGTTCATGGTTCTCCTGACTACACAGTGGAGGTGCATTCACAGTCAGGGGGCTTGGCTGAAGACAGTGGTGGATTTTTTGCGGTTTGCCTGAGTTCTGTGCTTACAGGCTGTGATGCCCAGGAGAACTGGTTGGAGCTTCAAGGCTGTTACGAAACCATCTTGTGTTTTGTGATTGCTGGCATTCAGTTTATGGCTGGTTTTGAGGTAGGTAATTGCCATGATGGATATGCTCTTGGATTTTGAAGTAGGATTCAGGAGGGCATGATATTTATTAGGCTATATGGATGTTTGGCTTAAGCAGAGCAAAATTACATTGCACCACATAAATCCATTGTTATGTTTGTCTTTCATTCACCTACTTGTCTTCATGACAAAGAAGGTGACAGACCTGCCTCCTAGCAGGGCAAATGACTGATCTAAGCCTGTGTTTGAATAGTGATCCTTTGTGTATTCTTGCAAAAAATTAGTGCTAGATCTTGTAAATGTGCCATAAATATTTTTAGCGTGATTGTTTTGGAAATAGATGGCTCATTGTAATGCTTGTCAACATAAAGCTGCACAGCCTTTCTAGACTACGGATGAAGGACATGGACATTGTGCGAACTGCCCTCGTGAGGGCTGTCAGGTACTTTTGGTTGCCTGTCACTGTACTTCGCCCTCACTCCCTAACAAACCTCTCAAATGTGTTACTCTGCTGCTATTTTTCATGGTGTGTATCAAAGTCTATGGTGCAGACTTTGCTCATTCCAAAACTGTTTTTTCCATGAAAGTCTGCCCCAACCCCTTTGGATTTAGCAGATCTTTATTAGAATGAAAATTCTAAAAGTGTTGGCTGCTTGCTGCTTTTCTTCAAGTGTCTTAAAAAGATTTCCATATCGAAACATTATTTACTTTATCAATGCTGAGTCTAATAACAGAAGTCAGTCACAGGCAAGTTTTCCAGTGGTGGTTCAGCGTCTGACTCAAGTGCAATTGGTATCAGTACAAACTTTATGCATCAGGCTCTCAATATCTATTTTTGATGCTGTGTTAAACTGATGTTCGAATAGTTCATTTGGGTCATATGGGATGATGTATGGTCTAATATGGCTGCTAAATTCACTTAGTTATAAAGGGTTTTCTTTAAGACAAGAGGAGGTGTAAATGGGTAATAAATTACTGAGTTTGATAGAATCTGCTAATGATAGTTCTTTTTCCGGTTGGTAAAACAAAGCTGCGTTTGTTTCTTTTCCTCCCTTTTTACGCAAGACATATCCTTACATCACATATTTCTGTGAAGTGAGTGAAAGCATGCAAAGGATAAAAAGTTTGCTAAAGACGTTTATTAACTCCTTAAAATTTGAAGTTTTTAGTGATCCCATTCTACTTTATGCACTCTTTTGATAGCTACTTACTGTTTCCAAATTCAGAGGAAAAGATCTTTTACTCAAGCGGATGTTCTTTTACAACTTCATATTTTGAATATGGAATTATTTCTTGTCTCTGCATCAGTAAAACATCCATTTCATCTTGCCCTCTCAGTTACGAATACCTCATTGTTTACTAATATGTTTACACGGAACACACAGAAAATAGATCTGATAACTTGTTGCCAGATGTCCCCATGGATTTCATAAGACTGTGTGGATTTGGTGGGAGTGTATTAATCTTTGTAAAATATGCATTGGTACAAGCACAGCAAAAAAAGGTGCAGTGCAAAGATAACAGACCACTCATGCACTCTGAATTTTCTCCAAGCAATCAATGCAGATTACTGACATACTTTTTTATATTCACAGGAAGAACTTTGCCAAATTGATGTATTATTATTCCTCTGCCTTTCTAATCCTTTCTTCTGATTCATGTTTAGCCAAATCATCTTTGACTTTTTATATTCAAAACCACCTTTAGATGACAAACTGCGGCATTTCAGCAGAAGCAGGCTGGGCATACAGCCACACAGGACTTCAGTTTGATATCACAGAGGTGAGCGGTAGTCTTGGTCCCCATGGGAAATGCTGTAATGCTTCTCCTCGAGGAAAAGAAACAAGAAAGCCTATTGTTTGGAGACCTTCTAGTTGCAGTTGTGTAAATTTGTTTTGATTTGGAAGCAGTTTGGGAATATGCCCCAGACTGTAAACAGGCACGTGGCGTTGGCCACAGGAGGGATGATGCAGGACACAAGCCCACAGGGCAGCACGTGGGAAGCCATCAGCCCTTCGGACAAGCCTGCGGCCACGCAGTAACCGTTCTCCTCGACAGTCTGGCAGTCTAACATGCTCCTCGATCTGATGTGCTCTGCAGCTCTTTGGAGGAAGAAGTAGTAGTGATGGCCAAGGAGGCTTGGACGAGGCAGGAGGTGGTGGCTGTGCTTTTGGGGGGTGAGCATGGCAGCCCCGGGGCCAGCGGGGAGGACATGAGGGTCTCCGGAGCGGGGTTTGTGATCTCTGCGGGCAGGATGGGGCCAGGGGTGGGAGTGCTGCCTGTGCAGAGGAAGGTAGGGGAGTGCTGCAAGTGCAGAGAGCCAAGATCAGGGATAATATTCAGGCAAAGCTCCTTGGCCACGCTGAGCCAAAGTGAAGGAGCTGTAAATTCAGTGGGAGGTAAGACAGTGGGAAGGCATCTTCAGAGTCAGGGCCAGAGCGGTGCTGTGCGAAAATTCCTTCAAAAAAGCACGCAGCTCCCTCATCTCCTCCCCAAATGTCATGTGTTAATGCTGTGCTTGTCTACACAAGGGTGCCATGCTGCCCGGGCTCAAAGTCATTCACACTCGTGCCTTGGGCTGGTCTCTGCACTGCGCGGCTGCATGGGACCAGGCTGTGCTGGGGCTGGCTTTTCTGCATCAGACAGACGACACTTGCTGTGGAGCTGAGAAGCATCGCCTTTCCTTCCTGCTGTTTGAGCTGCTCCTCTAGGGACAGGTAGCTTAATTCATAGTAAATTGAATACGTATTTGATAAATATATGTGTATCCACTTAGGCTAGAAAATGAATAAAGTTACTGGAATATTAATGGCATCCTGGACTTCTCAGTCTTTGCTGGATATGCCAACCTTGATCATTATCAAATACATATAATTGTTGCCTTGATCTGTTACCTGTCTCAAAACGGATTTGAGAGACCTATAAATAATACATTTTGCTTTCTGTTAGCCTACTGATTTTAGGGTCATATACGTATTCATAACATAATGACATATGCTATCTCTCTCTGTGGAACAGGGCCATATTTCAGGACTTATTTCAGGCCCTGGAGGCAAGAGAGGAAGCCTACAGAGAGGATGACTTTCCCTTGGTTGAGGAGGACTGCGTGAGGGATTGCTTAAGCGATCTGGAGGTCCACAAATCCATGGACCCCGATGGAATGCACCCACGAGTGCTGAGGGAACTGGCGGATGTCATTGCTGAGCCACTCTCCATCATCTTTGAAAGGTCCTGGAGGACAGGAGAGGTGCCTGAGGACTGGAGAAAGGGCAATGTCACTCCAATCTTCAAAAAGGGCAAGAAGGAGGACCCAGGGAACTATAGACAGGTCAGCCTCACGTCCATCCTGGGAAAGATGATGGAGCAACTCCTTCTAGAGGTCATCAGTAAGCAAGTGGAAGAAAAGAAGGTTATCAGGAGTAGTCAGCATGGATTCACCAAGGAGAAATCATGCTTGACCAAAC